AATGGTATTGCACCCCACGCCGCTAATTTTCTTGCACATTACATCCATAAATAGCTCCAGTAGCGCCATGAATAAGTGTTTAGAGAAAACGTGGTATCTTGACGCCAAAAAGTGGTACCTTCAGTTCAAAAATGTGGTACCTTTGGAAAAAAAGTGTTACCTTCGCAAAAGGGATTTATTTTTGCAATTGAAAATGGTATTATAACCCACACCGCTAATTAGGTTGCACATTACATCCATAAATAAATCCATTAGTGCCATAAAGAGTACAAACTTTATTCCAATCTATCTAACTTGAGGGAATGAGTAATACAAAATATACTCCAACATCACTTAAAACATTACACATAAGCTAATTTTTTTTATTTATTATTCTATAAGATATCCTAAAAACAATTATTCTCTCCCTAATAGGTAAAGAAGCTGCTTTTAAGCCAGTTCCATTATGAAATAGTACTTTGCAAAAAGTTCTCCTTACCTGATTTGTGTCCATAGTTCTTCAAAGTTTTTCTCCCGGAACGGAGCTCTCAACGACTACAACTTCCACCAGCGTTCCTTAAGCAATTTGATAGAGTTTTACCTTCCAAGTCTATAATTAGGAGTTATGCAAGCAAATCGTAGCGGGTTGAAGTGAGAGAGGTTAATAACACAAAATATTTTTACAAGGGTTAGCATGAATTTATAGAAGACAATTCACTAGAGTTCGAAAATTTCCTAGTATCTTATTATATATACTGAGGAGATTTCCTAGTATTTTCTTATATATGAAGGAAGAACATTTGCTGGTTGAAGACAATGGCAAGCAGCAAAATCCTATACGTCGGAGGGGTCTCATGGCCTCACGAAATGTTGTGAGGAGTTAAAAATGGAATAGTTTCAAATATGAGGAGTTAAAAATGGAATAGCTTATAATGCTATAATGAATAGAAGCCAAATAATAGCAAAATAAATACAGGGTACATTTGTAAAAACACTTTTGAAACGTTTATTGAGGGAAAAATAAATACACACTTGAACACATTGAAAAATAAATACACACCAAATCTCGATGGAGGTGACGACGATTACATGCCAGGTTAGTTTTACAAAAAAAAATGAACCATCGATGTGAGGAGTTATAAATGGAATAGTTTTGAGAACGATTGAGAATGTAAAACAACTACTTTCAATCCATGCATCTCTTAACGAGTACTTTCGTTCTATATACTTTCGGTCCATAGATCAACAACTGAGATTTACTAGTGCTAATGTTATGGTTTTGTGCATATGCCATATGTCTATTTATAGAGCCCAATTCACAGACATGTGAATGAATTTTACCCATATCATGATTTGGCAAAAGGGACTTACACATCTCTCTCTTTGGCATGATAGGGGTGTCTTCATAATAGTTGTCGTGTTATACACATAACACCACTATTTTTAACTTTACCCATGTGATGATAAGATGAGAAAGTGGATTGGTTTTGTGTATCTACAAGAGCTGATTTTTTCAGTGAGAGTCATATTCTGTGACTAGCCATGTGATTGAAAAAAAAGCCAAATAATTTGAAGTGGCCTTACACCATGGCAGATAAAGATGAATGGTCACATCATCAAGAAAAAGCCTTAGTGTCTGAAAAAGTTATAAATAGTGGCATTGTTGTCATGAGGCAGAGTATTGACATCCGTATTTGTAATTACAATTTACTAATCTAAACTTTTTATTTTAACAAAACTATTATAATGTTAATTTATTTTTTAAATAGATTTCTAAGTGCACTTTGATTATGTAGTATCTTTATTTTTTCTCATATTTGATCAAAGCTATTAAAAAATCTATATGTCAGATGTTGCAGGAATGAGAGCATTTCCATTGCAAAGAAGATGCATAAGGATCCAATTGAAGTTATTCAAGCCATTACTAATGATCCAGACTTATAAGTTGCTTCAGAGTTGTCAGATTATTCAGATACAGGGGATGATGACTTTGTAATTCCACCTCCCCGTTATTGCTAAAAAAAACTTAGTAGTTGAGTTAAATTGTATGCAGTATGTATATGAAATGTATGTATTTTTGATTTATTTTATGCAGTATTTTGTATGAATTCCACCTCCCCGTTATTGCTCAAAAAAACTCAGTCCTTGAGATTTACTAGTGCTAATGTTATGGCATTGTGCATATGCTATATGTCTATTTACAAAGCCCAATTCACAGACATGTGAATGAGTTTTACCCATGTGATGATTTGACAAAAGGGACTTACACCTCTCTCTCTTTGGCAGGAAGTGGGGTGTTTTGCATAATAGTTCATGCACCTAGCACCACTATTTTTAACTTTAGCCATGTGATGATAAGATATGAAAGTGGGTTGCTTTTGTTTATCTACAAGAGCTGATTTATTCAGTAAGAGTCCCATTCTGTGTCTAGCCATGTGATTGAACAAAAAGCCAAATAATGTAAAAACAGCCTTACACCATGGCAGATAAAGAGGTATGGTCACATCATCAAGAAAAAGCCTTAGTGTTTGAAAAAGTTATAAATAGTGCCATTGTTGTCATGAGGCAGACTATTGACATCCCTATTTGTAATTACAATTTACTAATCTAATGTCTTTATTTTAACAAAACTATTATAATGTTAATTTAATTTTTAAATAGATTTCCTCCTATAAATTATTTATATCATTTGGATAATCTTTAAATTATTTCATCCATCACTTTTTCAAGTTGTGCATGAATGGTGTCTGCCTATCACTACAACAAAAAATTCATTGTACATTAAAAAAATTCATCATTTACTAAAGTTCCAAAACAATTCACCATTCATCAATGTTCCAAAACAGGAACAAAATCTTCTAGCACTGCTATTTACCAAATTTATAAACCTTCTACCACTTGAGTTTCAGTCTGCACTTGTAAAAAAATCACCTCATTGTCCATGGTACAAAATCCAAGCAAGTAGCTGCATCACACAAGTCTCAAATTCAGTATGCTAATCAGAAAAAGGAACGAATAAGATTGTCATTTATGAATCAAATAGATATCATCATCATTGACAAATAAAATGTAGCGAAGAAACTACTACCAAAACGTACGAACAAAATAACATACATAAATAAACAAAACCAAGATAAGAGAGCCTAGTGCTAATTTGGGCAGTAGGCAACTTAATTCCGCCTACTCCTGATAAACAATACTGCTTTCCCATACAATTAATTTGGGTAATGGAGGTCTAAATCCCCGTGACCCGCCTAATTTAATTCCAAAGGTTTTGTATTTTCATGTAAATTTTGGTATACACCCAGAAAGACCAATTAATTATATTGGATTCTCAAGTACAAGTATAATTTAACTTGACTATCAGTGAACAAGATATGTAAGTAGTAATAGACTAAATAGTAAAGGGAACCAAGATCCAGTATAGGATATTTTCAGCAAGGGGTAAGAAAACAGGATCATAAAAGAACTGGACAAAGAAACTGCAACTATATTTCAAGATTAACCAGTTAAACATCACCTTTTGAGTCTTTAATTTCTTTAATAACCCTACTTCGGGATCACTCCTACACCAACACAGTTATTTATTTATTTTTTTTTTTAGTATTTTCTTCAGCAGTATTCTAAAGCCATCATCCATACCAAGACAGTTTTTGGTTTCTTTTAATTTTCTAATACAGTTTTCTAATACAGTGTGTGATTGTTCCAATCAAGAGAACCAACCCTTGAACTATGCCCGTCTTGCAAAGTCCTCAGCTGTTCAGAAAAACCAAGAAAATTAGAGTACAGGATGGAGAGGTGGCACCAGAAAAATCAAATCTAATGCCTAGATCATTAGAAATGTGACAATTTGCAATAAATACATTTCATTTCACTCCAAATAAAGAATATAATACTCTTAGTTCTAATATTTGTTTTCTAAAATATAGGCCAACTATACAAGCCATAATCCTTCATAGTAGTTCACTTTATGCATTATATCAGTATAATAAAATCTTCAATGATACATGCCTCATTCAACCTTGTACTTCACCACTAAACTGGACTTTGTTCTCTTCCAAACTAAATAAAACGTAAAAGAAACTACCAACTTTATCAGAACTTAAATGGGATATAAAAATGCATCTTGTGTTGCATTTAAACCCATGTTTTTCTTTAAGTTTTTCTTTTTCCACACAAAATGCAGTTAGAGAAACTGACAGAAGCCCAATTTCTTCTTAGCACCTACATATCATGGAAAACATGAGTTCATGAAATATCAAAGAGCAGAGTTCCTGGTTTGTAGTTATTCAGTTGAACGTTTCGTTCCTCCAACCACTCGGGCTGTGAGTGCCTCTATTCTTTATTTTTAGGCTTTTTCGTCTCTGATTTAAATTTTCTTTCAGCGAGAATGTGTTTTGAATCTTATTGTTTATCATCTCATTTTTTGTAATAAAATTTTTCTTTATTGACCAGGGTTTCTTACAACTAGTCAAAAATGCTTGTCATATTTATTTAACAGAACAACATTAAAAAAGAATGCCAACTTTTTACCATGCCTCATCTAATTACTTACAATAATCTGTTCAAAGAAACAAAAGCATAAATGATCAATAAAATAGAAAAAACGAAAGCATAATTAAAAGAAAACTCTTACCATCCGACAAGATGAAGGGTCCAACAGCAAGATGTACTCCATCCGGCGCCCATCTGACACTTGTCACATGCCCAATTTCCTCATCAATCACAACAAGTGCAGAAGTAGCGCCATTAGCAGCATTCCACAAATATACTGAATTCCCAAGAGCGATAGCGACAATGTTATTGCTACTCCAATCCAGTAAATTCAAATAAAACTCATCTAGGAGCTCAGAAACAACAAGAATCCTTTCTGGAGACTGTTAAATTACCAAACAAACACATGTCAACAAGAAAGCAATCAATCCAAAACACAAATCAGAATGAGAGCTTAGCAACAAGAAGAAGAAAAAGGGAAGAAAGAAAACCCACTTGGGGAATCTATCTCCTAGACTTGTTCTTAAAAGCAAGGATCCTCTTCCTGTAAGCTTCTTTGGCTGGAGAGCATGGTGTTGGGCTTTCCTTTCTTACCATCCCACCGTTGAGCATGTAATGTGCAAAATCAAAATCCATTGCAGATCGGTTGGGAATAAACCTATCCAGCTGCCATCCCAAAAGAACAAGATTAGTGTGAATTTCCAATAAAACCTATATATATATATATATATAAAGGCAAAATGACAGGAAAAAATCAGCCATAGAGTTTAAAACCCAGGAGCAAGATTAGTGTGAAGCCTATTGCGATGACAAAAGAAGGCAGGCAAAGATATTAAAAAAAAAATTAAATAAATAAAGAGAGTATATTTTGAAATGTAATATTTTCTTTATATGGAACACAAAAACAAAACCTGAAACTATCGTTACTGTCTTCTACAACTATTTTGGTTCCTTTCGAGTAAAAATTCTTTGTAATCCAAGACAATAGGACATATGATAATATTACATTATTATCTATTTTCCTCACTTAGAAACCTAACAACTGGAGAAATGAAAATGCTTACCGGTTCACCTTATAGCCTGTTGGCTTATGGTTTGAATTATAAACCCACTGGTCAAGGTTCGAGACTGGTATATATAGAGAGGAAGCTATATGAGAAGTCACAGATGTTAGATTGTGAATCTTTTGGTCATTCAACCCAATCTTGCTCTTCTAAGCCCACTACTAAGCATACACAAAAATGGAGAATGAAGGAGGACGGCTAGACCTAATTCGAATTAGTGGGAGGAAGTTATAAGGGGAAAAGGGAGAAGTGTTGTGGATCCCCCCAATGAGGAATTGTGAAAGGAAAGCCCTAAAATGGCTATACCTATTGCTTCATTATCAAATATATTTGAATTCACTTCTTCTTTTGATGTGTCTTTGATCACAATCTCATTGCACCTCTCTCAAGAGATTATGGGACCTATTGATTATTTAAACTTTATTGGGTCTATTTCTCTGAATAAAGAAAGAACTACGTAAATCCAAATTTATTCAACTAGAAACAAAAACATATTGAGTGTGTTTTCCCTGAATCTTCATGTTGAATCCCATGGAAATCCAAACCAAGAAACCTACAGGACTATGACTTAAAAAATTATCTAATGATGTCAAAAATTCTAGTCGTGCAGAATCTATACAAGTTGAACAAATAAACCCTAAATTCCTGAAAACTCATATTCGTAGACAATAAACCATCCAAATATGCTAAAGAAACCCTTACGTGAAAAAAAATCAAAATCCAAGAAATTAATGGGAACATCAACCACAAAAATCTAAAGATATTGCAAACAACACTAGATATCGTCTAAAAAAAAGAAACATTCAAATAGTAGACGAAGAAACCGTAGTTCACAGTAAATCCAAAAGTCCAACAAATTCACGAAGACAAACAAAAGAAAGAAAATCAAAAGGAATTCGATACAAAAGCTAAAAGAATTTAAACTTTTCTCGTTTTCTTGAATTCATTGCAACGAAACAGAAAGCCAAAAATATCAATTGGTTGGCGAACATACATAAACACACACAAGCAGATGGAAACACATACTTTTTCGCACAAATTTTGCCTTCGAAGTTTCTGATCGGAGAGAGGGAATCGCGACATTTTTGTGTCCAATTCCTGAATCCAAAATTGATGTTTTAGGAACAGCATATATATATATATATATATATATATATATATATATATATATATAGGGATCAAAATTGTATAAAAACAGAGTAGAAATCCTAGCAAAACGATGAACAAGACTAGAGAGAGAGAGCAAGAGAGCGTTGATGAATGAGTTGGGTTTAAGAGAAAATTAGCAAAACCTCCACATATCAACATGTACGAAGAACGTGAGAACTTGCATTAACTCATTAAACAACATATCAACAACTTCTCCTCCACAACAATCAATCAAAACCTCCACATACGATGATCCCATACTCCCATGCTTTCAACATTTTAAAACAAGAAAAAAAAAAAAAATGGCCTCCACATGGGCCGATGTAGCAATAAGGTAATAAAGTTCAAGATACACCATAAAATTGGTCACTTAAAGGCATGTGACCACCCCGAGTATGAGTATAAAAAGCATTACAAATGTGCAATCATAAAAGATTTTTATCGAACATAAAGACCATATAACTTACAAATTTGATGTACTTGATAGCCATGCAATCGACGCTCCCGTTGTTATCTCTTCCCAGCCCCTAGCGGGAAGACTACATTTGAAGTACATGCAAATCAATTAAACAAAATATAACACCAAAATATTGTACAAGTGGAGATGGTTAAATGAAAAAACTCAAAAATAAGGGACATATGAACAGACAACTTTTTTATTAGGCGCTAGTAACCAAAAGCAAGACTCTAAACAAAATAAATAAATAAATGCGGTAACAGTAGTCAACTAAGATTATAGCAAAATCCTTTTTATTATTGTTTCTTTATTTTTTTATTCTATCAAACATGATTGGACAATTTGGACCACAAAAAATCAGAAGGAAGCCCAAAAATCTATTTGAAACAATTTTTCCCAGAAATACATACTTCCCTTTGAAAAATCAATAAAAAAGAAATTCTCAAACAATTTGCATGAAACCAAGTCCATTGGAAGCTTAAACACACAATTTTTCTTCTATCAATTTAAATCAATAAATTTTCTTACCGATTAAATAAGGTTTGAAGGAAAAGATAGGAAAAATTCTGCTTACAAAACAAGGATCACAGCATGTTAAGATTAACTTCAAAAATCCATACTAATTTCAAAATCCAATCAATTTGAGCCAAAACAAAAACCTGTAAACTCATTAATAATAACTGATATCACATAATTTGAAGTGATTATTGTCAATTATGCTCGTGAGTTTGAAACGTATTCGTTCACGTGATCTTTTGGACATTTAATAGAGAAACAAACAAGTCTTTTTCTTTGTCATTGTATAAAAAAGAACAAGTGATAAATACCAAAAAGTGCCATACATACCTCATCGGTTCGCAACACAACAAATTGGTCTCTGCTGGTTATATGTGACAACACCTCACTTCAGGGACGGATATAAGTCCAAAATCCTTAATAAAGTAGTCCCCAAAGGCTCTAGACATTGCCAATCTGGGGCATTCCTCATTCGGCAGCCAAATTTTATGCACCACAGGCTTGTCGTTTAAACTGAACACTCTTCCTTTGTACTGATTTATCCATTCAGCCTCATCTGTCAAACAATGTTGATAATGTAAACACAATGTTCATATAATTTTTGAGACACAAAGAAAGTGAGGAAGAGAGAGACTCACGAGGTAAATTGTGGTTGAAATAACAGTCATAATGCAGTAGGGGAGCTCCAAGGAATTAATAGTGAGGAAACAAGTCATAATGACTTTAATATGATGTTATTTTCCTAGCCTTCCGTAAGCATGTAACATGTAAGCCCGTCCATTGTCACATAATCCCATAACCTCCTTGCTTTCACGACCCTCCAGCTGCCAGAAAACTCACACACCTATGATTTTTAAATAACACTCCACATGAGACTCATACGAGGACCCAGGAAAATAATTTCAATACCAAAATAAACCACCAGACGAATAATACAGATTCAACTTAGAATAAGTTACATCATACTTAGAAATGTTTTCTAAATAAGTTAGAAATACTATCACAACATAGTTATACTAATGCAGTAGGGGAGCTCCAAGGAATTAATAGTAATTACAAAATAATTCCATATTTAAGGCCTTAACACCTTACAAAATAACTCCACTAGAATTAGCAATTATATAACTATTCTATCCAGGTATAGGAGCCTTGCACTTTCGACGATTATGACCATTCTCGCCGCATCGTGAACAGTGTAACGACCTTACATTTTGAAATTGTGATTCGATTCATTTAATACGAGGTCGTCCAGGGGGACGTGTTACCGCAGGAGGCCTAAGATGGGAAGCACCTTCACCGTCAGCAGCAGCAACAGCAGCTGCATTCGGCATATCATGCATGGGGACAGAAGACATGAGATGTTCACATAGTTTTTGTTGTGTTTCAACCCTAAACCATGGATTAACCATCTCATAAATATTTAAAGATAATTCATGGATGGCATAGCATGCATGCGAACAAGGAATCCCACTCATGGTCCACTTCAAACAACTACAAGAATTTTCACTGCCAAATACCACCCTGAATGGTTTTCTGTCTCGATCATATATTGTACACTCAGTAGGCGAAACACGCATCGACTGAAAACCAAGAGCTAACTCTTGCTCTTTTTTTATTTTCTCCTCAATACGATCCCCAACCGGGATAGTCCACTTCTGAACATCCAAACTCTTTTGGTATAAAAATTTGCTGAGTCTTTGCATGTGTGTATCCATCAACCTTGTGATTGAAAAAACCCTCTCTTCTTTCACCCATACATTGAAGGACTCTGCTTGATTGGTGTATAATTTATCCCAACGCTTGGAAGTAAACATAGCATTTGACCAATGTTCAGGTGAATTCGCCAAAACCCAATCGCATAACTCCCCTCGAAATACCCGCATGGTAGCCAATGCATTCTTATACTCATCTACAGTTCGAGCATATGCAATTTTATTGAGTAATTTTTTCGCATGCTCTTTACCCGAAGCCCTCAATCCTAAACTTTGTCTCCCAAGAATGGATGTAGAAAAATTCGCCGTTAGGTGACGAAGACACCATGAGTGGTACTGGGAGCCAAAAATATCTCTAATACAACTTATTAGGCTCGGATGCCTGTCGGTTAAGATTGTCACAATGCGACCATCTAGAATCTCTTTCACCTTGCTCAAGAACCAATGCCAATCATCATCATTCTCAGAAGAAACAACAGCATACGCCAAAGGCCACAAGCCATCATTCGCATCGAACCCCGTTGCACCAAGCATTGTTCCTTTATAATTGCCACTCAAGTGGCAAGCATCGATTGCTAACATGGGCCTGCAATAGTTGATGAAACCTCGTATGGAGCACCCATAAGCTACAAACACTCGCTTAAATCTCCTATCATCCGTGCACTCCCACGATGTAATTGTCCCAGGAATATATTCTGCTATTCGTTCACACAACCACGGGACTAAAATATAGCTATCCTTGGGATTTCCCTCAATGATATGACGTGCACACTCCTTAGCTCTCCACGATTGCATGTAAGTCATTTTAGCAGAAAATTCACCGTTTATGTCTGTGGAAATAGTCTTGGGGGTGCATTTAGGATTGTCCCTAACCTTGTTCACAATAGCTCGACCCATTTCCTTCGACCAAAAAATGGCTTTATAATCTGAAATGTCTTGAGCAGTGTGAGTGTGAACATTATTAAACCGTTTGATTCTCACTATATCACCACTTCCTTTACAACCAGCTGATAATTTCCATGGACAATTATTAACCTCGCACACAACTCTATAATATTTTCTGCTATTGTCCAAGTACTTGAACTGAAAATGATTACGAAGACCAAACAAAACGAGTGCATCTTTGAAATCATTTGGGCTGTCAAAAAGCTGTTCCACACAAAGAATGTCATCAATGTGTCGGAAAGAATCCCGATGCGCATTTATCGGAGGAAATGAAGACGTTGACGCAACACTTTGTAGAAGACCAATTGGCGACGTGGCTTCAACAAATTGTCTACAAGTGGATAAAAAGGTATATTAAAAATCACATAACCTATGCAGCGCATACATCAATGTATTACTTTAAATATATGTGTCTTACCTCTCACTATGATCAGTAGGAATTGTGCATGATGCAATTACAGGCTCTGCATCTTCCATATACACATTTAGCATGGGACCACTCACTACAAGCATCACTCTAAATCCAGATTCTCCCGTCATCCTCAAAAGTTCATTCTTGTTAGATTCGGTGGTATAATATATGACTTTACCACTCATGTTTGAAGATGAACGTTGTTGTAACTCATTTATAAATGATTCGTATGTTGTTGTTGTTGTTATCATAAAAGAGTCTGTGACACCGCCGATGTATATAATTTCCCCATTCTCATTTTTGTCAATTTTCCCATCAAATCGACAATAGCATATAATTTGTCTCTCATCCATTTGTCCAACTGCTTCGAAAATTGACTCATTAGTTTAAAAAAAAAAAAAAAAAACTAAATATGAAGTTCAAAAAATAATGAAATATAAAACAATTAAATATCATAATTATATAATGTAATTTAGAGATCTATTTACAGCGAAACACTACTAATTCCCTCAATAGGGATAGGCGGTGTCAAGATTAAACTTTTCCTAAACACACACTACAGACCTTTTTCAAATCAAAATACAACCACAAAATCAATGCCATTGATTACTAGATAATTGTATCACTATGTGTACAACAAACATATATACAAGATGAGGGAGATTATGAGATGAATAGAGAGTTAAATGGGACAATATAGATTGAAAATAAAAAATTGAGAGTTAAATAGAGAGAGAGCAGAGTGTTGAATATTTTTCACACACAAAATTTATATGTGTAAGTCTTGAAAATGGGGGAGACAAGTACAAGGGAATGTTGGAATAATAAATTAATACTAAATACATTTTTTTTGATAAATTAATGCTAAATACATATATTAAAAAAGCCTCATTTATAGAGTTTGCTAGCTTTTGCATCAATTCTATCATGTGCGTAGATGCCTAAAGACATATTACACAGAGGTATACTCTACATGCCATTTGATAAAGAGGCAACAATCTTTAATTATTCTTGATCTAAATTGAGTTATAATAATTAATTATACATAAAAACTAATTGGACTACCTAAGTGTTGGTGGCTTTGAATTTTAACTCCTAAATTCCTACGTTCTGCTGAGGATTTAGTCTGCAGTCATCAAAGAGCCTTGAATATATAGCTTGAATGAAAAAAGCTACCAAAACAAATAAAATCATTCTTCTTTGGCCCTCTGACTATGTGGGCATGGAAGATTCCCGTAAATAGTCTGGTTATCTTAAAATTGAACAAATTGTTAAGTTTCAGAATTCTTTCTAATCGGAACCATTTTTTATTTTTTGTATTACTTACTTTTTCCACTTCTATTACCACCCTTCCCCATCCAAGAGACTCAGCTTGAGTGGTATCTCATGTCGCTTCCAAATAAGGATTCAATTTCCATGTAAAAAATAATAGTAAAAAATTGATAAATTCTGACTCTTTTTGTAGGAGGATACAGATATAGCTGATTTTACATAGATATTATTTTCTAACGGAGTGAATTGATACTACTCATAGCTATCGACCAATATTGTGGTGTGTATTGGTTGTAACTGACAATGTGAATTTAAAATTTCAAATGGATATAACCATAGTCAGTATTAATGGTTTTAACTAAATTTTGATATTTCCATTAAAATGGTATCTCTCTTTGATTTTGGATCATGTGTGTGGTTATTAAATTATGTGTTGATTTGTAAGGTTGCTTTCAGATTTTGACAAAAATAAAATGAAAGTCTTGATAGTTTGTTGATGTAATGAGCTTAAAAATTTAAAATTATATGCTTTGAATATATATCTATATCAGTCCATGGCAACTACTGCTTAATGATAAATAAGCCGTGAAACTACTTTGATCATATGGAGCTTATTAGTTGCATCATGATTACTACTAGTTTTGTGTATGTGTTCCATTATGTACTAGTTAATGTGTGGTGTTTAGGCTTATGGCCAGTGTGTGTGTTAAAATCATGTATAAACATACATATATATGACAAAGTCGTGTTATGTTTAAATATTTCAGCCTAACTCTTGTAAAAATTAGAACAAATTCATGTTGGTTTTGATGACTCCTAAAGGTTTTTTTTTTGGAAGGTTAAACAAGTATTATTATACCATTTCTCTCATTCCTTCTCTTTCTCCTTCCAAATCGAGGTACGTTAGGGTTTTCTCTCCCCTAATGGCACACGTGTTCTATGGACCTGTATTAGAGTATAGTTCACACTATGATTCTTAAGATTGATGTGCTTATTGACGGTCCAGTGCTGTTTCAATCTCCTCCTAACAGCACCTAACATAATCATAAACTAGATTTAGCTCAGCCATTTTGTCCTGAAGTTTTTCCTCAATCTCATTGGGAAGCTATTCATGTAGTGGCTGAAATATGTTTGTTTTTTTATGATCCAAACACACTCAAACAAACAAGAACAGTGACCAATAGCTAGCCGCAGAAGTTACAATAGGTGTAGCTAGCCTATGACAAGTGTGTTTGTGTTAAAATCTAGGTCATACAATTCTTTTTAACAGGTGTAAATCTAGCTCCCATTCTCATGATTTGTTTGTAATTTAATTTTGTTGCTTTTGCGCTTTATCTACCACTTTATGCGACTTAGTATAAAACCAAATATAAATATTAACTTACTGAATTTTTCTGTTACTATCAAATACCATTAAAGCAAAATTACAAAATTAGACCCTCCCTCACAAGAAACAAAATTTTAAGAATTTATTAATCACTCTAATCGATTGCAATAGGCTGCCAACATAGTTAATTGAGAGTCGATAATTCAAAGAGCATTTCATTTTATTTTTGTCCAAAGCTGAAAGCAACCTTACAAATCAACACATAATTTCATAATCACACACATAATCCAAAATCAAAGAGAGATACCATTTTAATGGAAATATAAAAAAATAAGATGTTTGGATACAACTGAAAATCAAAAAATAAAAGTACATGAAGCACCAGATTTAAAATTAGATTCCTCATAAGTACAAATAATTCTTTGAGACTACGCTTTCATGAGTACAAATAATTCTTTGGGAGCTCCGAGAATTAGTGGGGTAAAACCATGTATATCTCGATTGCGAGAAAAATATATAATGCAGCTAAAAGAGCATAGGCAGATTTAATAAAGCAATCCCCACAAAAATGTATAAACTCTACCATGTTTGAAGGCTTTTCTCTTAAAAAAGACTTTAGTAGTACTACACTTATCTGTTTCCCATTGAAAACTTTAAATCACCCATTAGCTGTTTTGATTTTGATTTTGATTCCTTTCCTAGTGCAAAGACATGTAGTATCCGTATTCACCTTCACATAAAGGTGGTGTCTTTGGTTTGATTGTAGTGCCAGAGTTTTGGACCAAAAAAATCAGATCCACCTCAAAGAGAGAGAGAGAGCTCTCTCATGTAGCCTTTTCAAAACAGAGCAAAATACAAAGAAATATTGTCAGTGTTCCCTCAACCTCTTCACTCCTCATTTATGAAACCTGTCTTTCTTTATTTATTTGACATCAAAGCTCTATCAAGTGAAATTCTCAACTTAACTCACAATATTATATATATATATATATATATATATATATATATATATATATATATAAAAAAAATATGTTTTTGGAGTAAGTGTTGTGATTCTGTACACAATAGGAGATTATTTATTATCTATTATTAGAAAATCGAACAGATAAAATGAGAAACTTTGGGAATACCCCCCCCTAAGGTAGTGTGTTTAATTGTGGCATTCATATTAAGTCATCAATTTAATATGTATGTTCCACAATATATTTATATATATGCACGGGTGTAGAATATATTAGATAAAAAAGTAGTGTTACTCTTCAATTTATACAAAAAGTAGTGTTACTCTTCAATTTAGTTCTAACTTCTATTTCTACTTTGATTCCAAATAATGCAAAGAGGTGTCATATTCTGATCTGGTATAGAGAATGCTACTCAAAACCTAATTCTCAGAAAGCTTAATTTCTCTATTAAGCTCTCCTCTTCGCACTTCTTCAGCTCTCACGGCTGTTGGGGAAGTTCTTGAAAAATCAGCAAACTCTCTCTCATCTCCCAGAGAAATGCTGCCCAGAATTGACGAGAGTGGTAGGTTTTGCAGCCCCAGAGCCGCCAGAGAGATCACCTTGTATGTCCCCCTCTTACCAATTTTTGTTTTTCTGTGTGTGTATATATATAGAAAGTTCGGGCTATTTGTTTTGGTTCTTTGATGGGTTGAAAATTGCTTGAATTTCAATGTCAGGATAATTATTTATGCGGCGTGTTTAGAGGGTTATGACCCAATTCGGCTATTCAAGAAGAGAATCAACGCCCGAAGAGGTATTAGTATTACCAATGCTATGTCTTATTTTATGACAATATGTTTATCTTTTTGGGTTTTTCTGCATCCCTTTTGATAAAACTGAATAAGTACTTAATTTATTTATTTATTATTATTTATATAACTGGTGTTTAGATAACTACCTACTGCTTTATATTTTCTCTTTTTCATCTCGTTAGAAACTAAATAACTTCCAAAGCATCAGTCTTGGACAGAATTTTGATCGAAATTTACTTCTTTCTTTCATTCTCTCTTTCTTTTCCCGTAAATACAATTTAGACGTAAAGGTCATATAACAGTTTTCCCATTACTGTTCGTGTCTTGTATTTTCAACTGAATTTGGGCTTAGGTATAAAGCAGCTTGCACTCTTCACCGGTTCGGGGGGGGGGGGGGGGGGGGGGGGGGCGCGGGGGGAACTTGTAAGCATATCTAGAAATTTGTTGTTTAAAACCATTCAAATTTCATGAACAGATGGTGAAGAAATCTTTTCCATTTCTGGTCATTGCATGGCAATATCTTAGACTAAATTTTTTAATCGTTTAAAAATGTTAACATATTCAATCAGTCTACTAAAAAGAATTATTTATCTAATTTATTTAAATGTTGGTAATTATCAGACACCAAGGCCATCACTGACATGCTCTAAAATGCTATGTTTCCCTCGTGAAAACATTTACCAAAGACTTCCAACCTTGTAAGCTAAGGCACAAATCATAGCATAACCATGAAGATTTGTTACTTCATCTCTGAGTCACAGTCCAAAGATCCAAACAGAGTAGCTTCTTCCCTTTTGTTTTATATTGAGAACTAAAATCTTTATTAGTGATTCTTAACACCTAAGATATTAATCATGAAATTATTATAAAGCATTTTCATTTAATTGAACCAAACTCAAATTTTATATTTAATTACATTTCAACCACTAAACCACAACAAATATAGTATGTATGAAAAACCTGTTTTTAATTTAATATTGTAGAACCAATACTAGTAATCTTAAACAATTCTTTTACTAAGCAAATGCAAATGGGAATGTAGATTTCACAAACATTTGATAACAAGTGTCCCTACCCAAAGACTATCACATGCATGCCTCTTTACAGTTTACATTTATTGATTGTATCATAAGGTCTCCAGAGCAAATGACTTATGAAGATAGGATTTAAGCTTGTTACCTTGGCACAAGCTAGTTAGCTAACTAGTGAAATCCAACAAAAAGCCTGTAGGCACCACACGTACTGCCACTTGCTTCCACATGGTCCTAGTAAATTTAAAGAACATGAATTATTTGGATTTAGGGACATTGAATCTCTACTATACACAGGTAGGCATTAACAGTACAATGTTTAAGTTTTAAGATCAGATTAATTTTCTATAAAAAAAAATTCAGCAGGTAACAAATGACATGCATGGAAATTTGTTTTTTATCCTGTTTAATTATGTTTTCTTCAGCAAATTCCGAGTATTTTAAGTATGAAAACCCATGCTAGTGGAGAGATTGTAGGATAACATTTGGGATTTCAGTTCAGTCAACGTATAAAGAAAGCATGAACTCTTCAAAAACAAGCAAACCTAATTACAAAAGAAGAAGAAGAAAAATAAAAAATAAAAAATAAAAAAAACATTTGATTAATTAAGTATCTACTTTATGAAAATTTTGCCTTTGTTGGTGGGATAAAACTGAGTTTTAAAAATTAATTTTGTCACGCACAAGAGAGCAACATTTTGTTACGCACATTTCAAACATATACAACAAACAGAGCAACAACAATCTTGATTGCAGAATAGAAATTATATATATATGATTGCATAATAGAAATTATAAGAGGAGAATATATATAAACATAACCTACATGAAAATCAGACATCCAATTGGAAAAAAAAAAAAAAAAAAAAAATTATAACACTAAATCAGGACCATAATCATCTAAAAAATAAACGTGTGTGTGTTAAGAGGGAGAGAGTACTTACCATATTACTAGAACAACAATAAATGAATGGCAGAAGTGGAGAAGTGCTTCGCTGGGTTATAGAGAGGGCGCACCAACGACGGTTAGACGTGGAGAAGTGCTTTGCTGTTACAGAGGGGGAAAGAGAGAGGGCTTGAATGAGGGTTAGGGCTCAACGGCTACGCTTCAATCCTGTTACAGAGATGGGGGGAGAGAGAGAGAGGGCTCTTAAGGGCTCTTCACGAATGAGATGAGGGAGGGTTAGGGTTCCATGTTCGGTGATGCTGTGTTTGCCTGGGCTTGCTTCGCTGGATTTGTGACGCACGACTGTGTATTTTAGGACAACAATGCTTTAGAGTTGAGTGACTAAATTAAACGGGGGCAATAAGGTAAATGTGCTGGAATAGTGAGAAGGGCATTTTAGGCACCACAAGTTTTAAACAGTAATAATTCATGTGCCATGTCATCAATTTAGTCAACCTCATTTTTAAGAAATATGAGACTTTGACTCAGCCTCTTGGTAAATATGAAACCCTAACCCCATTTATATGTAATAATCCCTAGTTTTTTAGGAAAATACCAGCTTTTTCTGTCTTCTTTGAAAAAGGCACCCTTTTTCTCTCTCCTTTCCAAAGTACCTCCTCTCTGCACAATCAATTTCTCTCACTATATTTTAAAATTGAATAAATTACACAAATTACTCGCGAGGTTTCTATATTGTGCATATAGATAAAAGTTGAGGTTTCTATATTGTGCATATAGAAAGAAGTTATAATAATATTACAAGAAGACCCATATTAACCGTTTGACCACAAAAAATCAATATAAATTTACCCTTTTGATCTTAAAATTAAAGTATTTATTTTTAATAAAAAAAATAAAAAATACTGTATATTAAAAATTTTCATTGTTGCCCCTGGATACATTACTTCCCTACCACATCATTTCTCTTTTCTCTCTCTAAATTCATCATTCCACCCTCTCTCCACTGTTAACATTCGCCACCTCCCTCTGCTTCCACAATTTCACGGCCTCTTTCCTCCACCTCTGCCACCGCTCCCACCCCCCTCAGCCCTTCAACACCATCACGTCAACACCACAAGATCAAAGATCTCATCTCATCTTATCTCTCTCGTCTGGAAGAAGAGCAGCGGCGGCGACAAGGCCTTCATCCTCTCTCCCGGTGACGCCTACAACACACATATTACAATCCCATCATCGTTGTCCTCACCCAACCAAACCCTAATTGTTAAATTGCAAACCCGTAACCAAAACCAATTCACAAAACCCAAATGCAAGACCCAAACCACAAAACCCCAACATTGATCAAAGCCAAGCCAAGCCAACCCAAAACCGTCACCACCGCCAAAAATTGTCTTGTGGTGGTCAGGATATCACGATCGTCACCAAGCTTGTTAGTCATAACCGGAGTCGCGTCTCGTCACCATGAAATGCAATAAAAGAATTGCTGATTCGCTCCCCGATCTGGAGCGTTAACGCGTTGAGGATGTCTCTATCTATATATATATACACACACACACATCAATGTCACATATGTATGTATACATACATATATATATCTATTTATATATATGCACACGGCGGCTGCGAAGGGTGAATTAGGGTGCGTCGGCAGGATCGATTTGGGTTGTGGATTGGAGTTGGAGGTGGAGGTGGCGGTGGCCGGGCGAGCTCAGATCGGCTGCTGCGAATCACAGGCGACGATGGCCTCGGAGAACCCAGTTCGGGCACCACCGGCGGTATCACAAGGGTCGGCTGGATCGACTTTTGATGAAGTACCAGTGATGGACATAGGAATATAGGAGGCAGTGGCCGAAGGGATAGATGAGAACGAGTTGGGGCTTGGTGCCGTACGAGTCACTCGGTATTAACGAGTTGGGGCTTGGTGGATGCTAACAATGGAGAGAGGGTGGAATGATGTGTTTAGAGAGAGAAGAGGAATGATGTGGTAGGGAAGCAGTGTACCCAGGGGCAAAAATGAAATTTCCTAATATACAGTATCTTTTATTTTTTTCATTAAAAATAAATACTTTAATTTTAAGGTCAAAAGGGTAAATTTATATTAATTTTTTGTGGTCAAACGACTAATATGGACCTTCTTGTAATATTGCTCTAATTTCTATCTACATGTACAATATAGAAACCTCGTGGGTGGTTTGTGTAATTTGCCCTTTAAAATTTAAAGGTAATATTATTTTTTTCGAAAAATAGACATCAATATATTTGCCATATAATTAGAGTCGGATTTGAATAAAAAAAAATATTTGATTTTAATTTAGGTACGACAACCTTTGCTTAAAAATTTTATAATTTAAATTAAATCATTTAATTTATTAATTATTTAATTTATTAAGTTTGAGCTCAACCCGAACATGCCTGGGTTTTGACAAAATCTAACTCGAACATGAACCTGATTTATGAATTTTAAGTCCAAATTTCAAAATTCTTAGGTTGGAGTTGGGTTGGGCTGGGTTAGCCCACCCAAATTGCATCCTTAGGTTTGAATCCCCGATCTCTCTTTTGGTAAGAAAAAAGTGATATTACTTAGCCAATTGGTTCTTTGGTTAAAAAATATATATAAAAAAATATTACAACTTGTACGAATCTTTAAGAGATATTTTAGAAATAAACAACACGAAATTATTCTTATCATGTATCTTGAGAATTATTTTAAATTTCTAATAATTTTTTTTTGCAAATTTGAAACAATTATTTCGAACACAACTAGTTAAATTATAGACTGCATTTAATTAGATTAAGGCTATATAGTTGTTATCAAACAAACAGAGAAGGAATTAAATATGGAGTACTAGTGGATTGTCAAATGGGTCACATAGGAAATGTTATTGAAATGAGTTAGTATCCTCTCTTAATTACTACTATTTCTCTGTCTCAAAAAAAGTGTCAGTTAACGGAAAATCGTGTTAGTTCAATTTATAAGAGTCACGATTTCTTAAAAGTGATACTTTTTATGGAAGAATATATATGGAGGTCCTAGACCAGCATGTACGTATATGAATAGACGTGCAATATTGGCACATTTCTCGCTCTTTCTTTGTAACAGCTAGCTGGCCGTCCTCCTAGCTCCTCCTTTTTCTCCTTTCCAATGCCAGAGAATTCAAAAGGCTTGCGTGTTACCCACAACCACATTAATTTACTTCTCTCTCTCTCTCTCTCTCTATATATATATATTATGTCCAAGAGAAATGAATGGCTTAGTAGTAGTATTCTTCTTCTTCATCAGCTCTCTCTTTTCTTCATTAGCTCTCTCTCTCTCTCTCTCTCTTTCTCAAATGGAAAGTTGATCTTTATAGCTCCTCTGTGCATATATATATATACATATATATATTTATATGCAGTTTGTAATTATTATATGATTTTTTTAAATTTATATTTGATTTTAATTTGTTGTTATTTTTAATTAATATGTATCTTATGAACGTTGTTTCATTTTTTTAACTTAATTTATAAAGAATATTGTGTTTTTGTTTTGGAAGAAATAAAACTTGAGAGGAGGAGTTTTGGTGCGAATGATTTGTGGTCAAGTCCCTAGTTAAGTCATGGTATTTTTTTTTTTTCTCCTTTGCAGATGGAATTTTGTTGCTGTGCCACTTTGTCAATGTCTGATTTTAGTAAAAAAAAAAGGATAAATTTTGGTCATCAATGGTTAAGATGTATTAGGTTTATATCCAATGGCTCTCCATCTAAAATCTATTAAAAAGGGTGATGGTAAGCATCCAACGGTATGTATGTTTTATATTGAAAAAGTAGCGGTTGGATTTTTTTCTTTTCACCATGTTATTCAACGGTTTGGATCTAGAAGCTTCTGTGGCATGCTTTTTAACGGCTGATATCTTCTATTCTAGAAGTTTCTCCTAAATGGACGGTTCAGATTTACTAGACCCCTATTTTAATGTTTGTGTAAACCCTAGATCTATATCTCTCCTCTCTCTTACTTTCTTTACTCCCTAGATCTATATCATTTCCATTCCATTTGTGGCTTTTCCATTGCCTGGAGACTTCCCATTGCCGTTTGGAGCTGGTTTTCCATCGCCCTGAGCTTTACCATTGGATCCATTCTCCTTTTTGTGAATCGAAGATACTTTGACACCCAGAGATTCATTTGAATCAAGTCTAATGACGATTGAGTTCTCCTTACAGTCTAATTCACTACGGGGCTTGATGAAATTTTTTATGCTGTTTTTTATATGGGTTAAGTGCAAAAAATTCTCTCTACTAACCATATAGTGCATATCAGTCCCTGTGAAGTAAAAAAAAACTCTATATTATTA